TATATATATGTATATATATATATATATGTTAGCAATAAAAATCTAATACGTACACAATCACTCTATAGGTAGGCTTTGTACCGCCACTTGTAGATTTCGCCTTGGAAACCAATGCGAGTACTGTGAACCCCAAATCACCAATGGACCTGCTTCTATCAAGCGGAGGAAGATCTGTCTCAACTTCTCCACCGTCGTCAGCCATAAGCAATTGGTAGTCGTCCACATTTCCACTACAATAACAACATCGTTCACGTTAGCTGTGCATTAGTCAACAAAGAAATCCTTTTTCTACCTTAGAGGATTTCCGCTATCAGCAAAAATTCTGTAAAGGCAGTAACCGATGACCTCTACAACTTTAGCAGATGGTTGTACTGAAATCTGTAAAAGGATAATAGCTACCTGCAATCCCTCTGCAACAACGTGGATAAAAATACTCACTTCTATTCGAGAAATATCTTCACAATATTCTTTCGCATTATACAGAATTAAGATTGTTTTCGAAGCTTGTTTCCCAACTGCTTCAAATTTAGCATATCCTAGTAGTGGATTCTCCACCGATGCACTATTTTCTTTAAGGAATCTGAATGCTGACATAAAATCTGTGCTCGATTTGCTCCAAGTTTAGATTCTAGTATACACAATCAACGCAAAAGTCTTCACCTAGAAACCGCTGAACGATTTGGCAAATTCTCTTTGCCTTGACTGACTTCTTTCGAAACAAACAACTCCACAGGCTCCTTCTGGCTGTCACTCACTCCAAGCAAATGAATTTGGTTGCTTTCTTAATGAGGTTTAAACAAGGAAAATTCACATACTGCTTTGTGACCCGGTGTCACCCACGCTTTCCACAGTGCGTGACCTCAGCCGTTCTTCGATCACCTGTTTTGTGTGGGTAGGAGTTTCAAATAGAGGTATCTAAAGTAGAAAACGACATTATGAGGAAAATGGAAGGAAAAGAGGGAAGAAGTGAAAATGTGCCGATGTGATGCGAACCCAGTTCAACTCCTGTCACAGAGAAAAATATAAAATTATAATTGTGTTGGGACAAACTTCACAGTTGCAATAGGCACTGCCATGATCGTCCTCATCGTCCGAGCTGGTTGCCTGTCGAAAATTTAGCGGGAGACCTCCGTATTTCGAACGCCTTGAAATGAAAGTCGTATGGAGGAGTCTCCTAATCTCAACAAAAGCAATTTCATGACTCGTATGAACGGGATAGCATAAGTCACAATATTTTCCGATGTGATATCTTGCCGCACTACACCATCGCAATCATTGATTCACAAATGGATAAAAGTACAGCACGACTTCGTGCACAGCTAGAACTCAAAAGACCCATCACCAAACTTCGAAGACTTGAAAGGCTAATTACCGGCGTTCAGGAGCCACAACTCTCGAACATGTCCCTGAGTCGTCTTCTATGCGTAACTCATGCCGAATCCGGTCAATTAACTCCTGCTCATCGAAAAAAGCCATTAGGCTAAAACATCACTATTCATCCAATACTTCAGAGGTCAGTAAGAATTACTTAATTGAAGCAATCTTGGTGGAGTATCTTTTTCAACTCAACTACATTCAAGACATCCATAGTAATACTTTAATCAACTTGTATAGGATACGGAGGTATGGAAATGAACACGAACAAGTCAGAATTTCTGAGGACTATTTACAGCAACAGCAAAATCTACAGTTGTCCATTAATATCATAAAGTTACTGCAACATAGCGCAAGTGGAAAAGAACTGCCATACAATAAACATATGAGCGAGTAAGCAACAGTAACGAGATCGCAGAAGACCAGGACTATCGTGTAACAACGCTAACGGTGCTTTTGATTTTATATTTCAAAGAATCATTAGAGTCAGAGCATGGACTCGAACTTTCGGGACCACACGATTCTGATTCGCGCCCAGCAGTGTGTCTCGGCGAGCGCTTATTTCCTGCGTCTGTGGTCTCAGGATCATCGTCACTGGAACTTCTTTCCACTTTGATGTGTCGTGGAGATCGCACTCGACTAAATCAGTAGTACAGCTCGTTCTACTATAAAGAAATAACTCCACGTTTATTAATCTTATATATTCGTAATATAATTTTCCCAATTTTACGTTCTCTTAGGCAACAAATAAGGATTTGACTCAAAAATTTTACGCTCCATTGGGCAGCAAGTAATAACTTAAGACATGCAGTGACTTTAGATAACAAAATGGTATGTAGATCGTAGGGCATTCCTCGCAGACAAATCCTTAACCAATAAAATATTGAAGTTTTCATGAGGCGGGAAGGTTAGATGGCTCAAAGTAGTACGATGATACGAGTGATATCGAAAAGAACTCCAACTCATTGTGCTAAAATTATCCTGATTTTTGTTTCACTTGGATTTCCCTCCATGATGACTTCGACTTTGCTCAATGAAGGTAAGCGTATAACGCATCGCAATAAGCCTTACGACTCTTCCAGAGAAGAAAAAGCTGTATAGAAATCCCAGATACAAACAATCCACTACCGTTTAGAACTGTGAAGTATTACTACAAGGCATAGGAATACAACAGGACTATCTTACTTCCACCACTTTCGCACTTTTGGGAAAGCTTTTACAACAACAACAACATCTACTAAGAATCAGGTAAGTCAAGGCCTCATATAAAGCGACAAAAGAAAGAAAAAGAACATGTAAAACACGACCAGTCACATATGCAATATACAAATGTGCACACATATATATATATATATATATATATATATATAATTTCAAACCGACGGTCATACAACCTCAGTAGTTGTAACCAACACCTTCTCGGATTCCTAAACCAACACAAGGTTGATAAAGGTGTCCATCCGTCAGACGTTTCGACGTCTTCGTCCTCATAAGAGCCATATATATATATATATATATATATATATGACCCGAGTCGATGGTCCCAGTCGTTCGTCTTCTCGATGTGGTGCCTTCGTGGTCGTATCGAGTCGGATCCTCTTCGGTGGAGCGCTGCTCAAATGAAGCAACTTCAACCGCCAGCGCGCTTTTATACAGTACAGTTTTTGTTGATAAAGACTATCCATTGATAAGTGAGCGGTGCTCCACTAAGACCCAAGAATTCGATAGAACGACGAAGACAACATCGAGAGCACGGAGGACCATGGACGTCGGCTCGGATCACCGGCTCTGATGAAGACGAAGACGAGGAAATGTTAGCCGTATAAGTTTCATGACAACCTCGTGCAAGGAGGTATATATTTAGATATATATATATGTATATATGTACGCATACTATGCATATATATATATATATATACATGCACATATGTATGGTTATTTCATTTGCCGATGAAAAACAAAGCGTTATAGTTCGTAAACTGAAGATGATAGAATGAGAGATAGTATTGTACTGCCCGAAATCCTAATAAAAAATATCAGCGAACATCAAGTGAACTTTGCTTCTTTTTCCAATGAAAAGCCTGTTGACCAACCTCGTAGTATGTTTTGAACCTCGCTCCTCTAGGCTACGTGAACATGTCTTAGCACTCGTTCGTCGCTCCATTTCACGAGTTCCATGGGCTCTCTTTCTTGACGAGTCTTTTGAAAAACGAGGTGAGCTATGAGTGCGGTGTCGCAGTGCACTCGAATCGTCTTGTCTCGTCTCTTTTCTAAAAAATACAACATCAAAACTTAAAAAAGTAGGAGCAAATCAAGGTATCCAGAGAATTTTCAGCAATCTCCAAAACTCTAGCTTCAACAGCAGAGTAATTTTCTTTTTTTTTCCCATCAATCTCCTTTTCTGCAAGATTTGGAGAAGACAAAGTGGTCAAATAAAGCAAAACTGTTTACTTGTCAAACTTTTCAAAAGTTTAAAAAAGTTACTTGGCCGGCATAACTTCTCAAGGCAAGATGAACAAAGGCGTCTGTGAAGAAGACACGCTCCAGCAAAACTACAAAAGAATTTTCGAGACCATTATGGGGGTCACCAGCAAATATATCGCGCGATTACACTAAGAGTAACGATCGACTAGTATCACTTGTTTCACCCGTTGATCGTCGAGTGACTCGCAAGCGGGCACCAGTAAATCTTTCATTATCCATGTCACAAGAGTGGTCCAGTGGGTTCTGTTCACTCTAGGTACACGTCGAGCATCATATCTTTCTTCAAGGCTCTGCGAAAAACTCTGACCATGGGGTCGGTGATCCTCTTGCAGCATGTTTCACATCCCAAGGAATCCAGTCACCAACGGCTCTTGACCATCTATTGTCACTCATACGCGTTACGTGTCCGGCCCAACATATCCTCGACTGTTTAGCGTACAGAACAGCATCTTTGATTTTTGATCGCTGACGCAGGTCGGAGTTTCGGATCCCATTCCCTGCTTGTGTGACACGGGATACTCCCAGCATCGTCTTTCGACTGCGCGTTCGATAACGCTGAGTGATCTTCAATCCTGCTTACGCAGCGACCACGTTTCTGACGCATACGTTGGGGCAGCAAGTACCGTTGAGTGGAAAAGATAGACACGCAGTCGGGTGTTCTTTGTACTCTTCACTACATCCTCGACGCTCTTGAAAGCTCCCCAAGCCGGTTCTTTCCTTCTGCTCAGCTCTGGAGCTAGGTCGTTCATCATATTCATTTACCGACCCAGATAAATATAACTGGAGCATTCGGAGATATTCGTTCCGTTGAGCGCGAGCGGGGCATGCGAAACCAATCCGTTCTTCATGAACATCTTTTTTGTGACATTTAGTCTAAGACCAATCTTTCCACAGGCTTTGACAAAGTCGGCAAGCATAGGTTCCGCTTGGCTAATGTTCGCCGTTATAAGGATGATATCATCAGCAAAGCCAAGATGGTATAATTGCCGAACATAGATTTTCACTCCCATATTATCCCACTGCAATGTTCGCATGACGTTCTGGAGGGTGGCAGTAAATTTGGCGAGATTGTAACGCCTTGCCTAACCCCTCTTTTGACGTCGATGTTAATATCGTTCTAGAATATTGACATTTTGGTTGTGAAACTGTTGTATAGCTCACGAAGAATCTTTATGTACTGAGTAGAGACACCTTGACTATCAAGAGTTTCCATAACTTCTATCTCAATTGAATCAAAGGCCTTCTGTAAATCGATGAAAGTGAAACAGAACGGTCTCTTGTATTCTCGCGACACCTCAATGAGCCTAGTTATCGTGTCGATGTGGTCCATAGTACTAAATCCTTTTCGAAACCCTGCTTGCTCATATGGCTGTACGTCGTCCAGTGTTCTGTCAATCCTGTTTAGGATAACTCGATTGCAAATGTAGAGGACAGACAGGAAGCAGATTGGACCATAGTTGCCAATATCGTGTAGGTCACACTTCTTCAAAAACAACACGTCTTGCTTGTCTTCCACTGAGTAGGGGACCTTGCATTCAGGTAGGCAACGTGTGAAGAGCCGATCTAGTGTGTTTACGAGGACTGACGGAAGGTTCTTCAGGTGTTCTGGTCTTACTCTGTCCGGACCTGGTGCTGTTCGATTTTTCACCGACGAAATGGCATGAAGGATTTCGGAAGGGAGAACCGGTGGTACAAAATATCCACCCTCCTTTATTTCATATGACAGAAGGTGGACGTGGCTATGGAAGAGTTCCGAGTAGTATTCGAGAATGACTTTCTTCATTGCCTTTCTGGAGGCTTTAGCTGTTTCGCCTGGGCGCCGGAATGTAATCATTTTGGTCTTGTAATTGGCGAAGCTTCGGTGGGTTTTGTGAATTGTTTTGCCAGCCTCTGCAGCTTCGACCATTACTGATGCTCTTCTCTCTTTAAGACCTTCTTTTGTCGCCTATCTGCATTGTTTTGCAAGTTCGGATGTTAGTTTGCGTTGCCTGCAGCTCGTGCGATTCCACTTTGGCGTATCAGCTCGAGTGTTTCTGGAGACAGACGTCTCTTGGTGACTTTTGAACTCTCAGCTTTCATAACGCTAACGTGAAAATGTTGAATGAGCCGATCGTATTCTTCGTCGATGTTATCGACAACCGCATCTTCTCAACAGGCGACTAATGAATTGAATAAGCCCCAGTTTATGGTGGTTCTGGGACTTCGGTTTTTAAATTTAACGGCTTTTTCTCCTTTCCGCGAGGAACAGAATCTTGCGCGAAGGGGGCGATGGTATGATCCCGTGTATAATTTTGTAACAACAGCGACATCGGTAAGGCAAAACCTTCGGTTTACTATTATGTGGTCTATTTGGTCATGGTACTCTCCATTGGGAGACTCCCACGTCTAGCGTTGAGGGTGCCGCTTCCGAAATTGCGAGTTACTATGCTTGGTCGTTATGATTAACTCAGATAGCCGCTCAACCAGTCCGTCCCATTCTAATCCGTGAGTCCTAATGTGACGTTCTTCTTGGTCCAATCTTGGCGTTGAAATCTCCAATGATACCTTGAAAGGAAAGTTTTCTCTGCAGGACTTCTCCAAGTCCATATAGAACGCTTCGATTTCTTCTTTGTCATAGTTCGATGTCGGCGCGAAAACGACGAAGATTGTCCAAGCCCGTACTGATCCGCATCTTTCTAATCGTAAACGTCCGATTCTGGTTGTAAGTTGTTCGAATGAATCGATGTTCATGGACAAACTCATGTTGACGAGAACGGCGACGCCGCCGACTCCTCTACTGTCGCATGTTCCGAAGAACAATTCTTCTCCGGTGCTATAGACGGCGTTGAATGAGCGGCGTTGTCTCGTCTCGGCTACGCCGATGACGTCGTACCTAATCCTTCTTGCTTGCATGACCAAGTGTTCTATCGAAGACTCGGATGCAAGCGTACGTACATTGTAGGTACAGATCGTCACTTTTGTTGTTTGTAATCCAGGCAGCTTCTATTGGCTCCAAAATTTTAGCAGCCTCTCCGTACTCGTCCTACCCAACGCTGCGAGATTGGGGTTCTTTCAGGGTCAGCGGAATGAAATCGGGTTTTTTTTTTTAATGTGCTTACCATTTTGATACCCACGTATAGCTTGCTGGGCTCTGAACATGGGAGCTGGATATATTCACGGGTAGCTTGCCAGGGTCTCCCGGAGTGGACATGGAGCTTATTTGTTGGAGGCGACTCCTAACCGCCTCCCATATACTTCCCTGTCACTTGATTGCAGGCTTTTGGCCGAATTGACTCGTAGAATACAATTCGCATAAGCGAGAACGCATCCACACACGTATGCATGAATATGCCTAGCAAATACAGAAAGTACGTGCCAAATCGGAGCAGCGGAAACAGGAAGTCCAACCCCTGGATCCATCTGCGTCTCAGGGAAGCAAAGGTCGCTTTTGGTCCGCGATTAAACCCCTATTCGCCACCTGTGGACGTGCCACGTAGCCTCGCAACTAACCGGCTCGATATCCCTCATATGAGGGAGATCCGTGGTCGATTAGTATTCAACGACATTCGTAAGGAAGACAGATCTTGCGGCCCAGCTAACAAACTAGGACGCGTTTGTGAAATGGAGATGGAAGACAAAAAATCGAACTGAACAGTCCTATGCTCCCCACAATATGCGATGACGTCATACATAACGAAAAAATATAAATAGATAAGTAATGACAGACATTAACATGAACAAAGAGAACAAAAACACGTGTGGGCAGTGTATGGGCTCTCAATGTTGTGTTGAATATTGTCATTACGTACTTGCGTTGGTCACTACGTTGATCTCTAGGGCCACTATCGGTCGCTCTTCTTTGGTTATCACTCGTCTTCCTGCTGGATTTCTTTTTCGTAACGTTCTTCTTCTTGGACCTTTATAAACGCAATAGTTCATTAATACATACAAAGGTAGAAGTCAACAAAAAATAAGTATGATAGAAGGCTTTACAGGGACCAAAAAAAACCAGACGTTTACGAATATAAAAGAAATACTAATAAAAAAATCAACATTTCAAGGAAAAACGACTGGGAATCGTTGAAGTGAAGATGAACACGAAACGCACCTTTTATGGCGGGCTCTTTCTTCACTGCTTGAACTGTCAGTACTTTCAGAAGAATCACTATCAGAAGAACCTTCGGAAGAACCTAATAATTTCAAATATATTTATAGCATAAGGTATGAACACCAAATCTTTGAAATATCGTGGCCGTGCGAAGTTTAGGGAGTGAAAGAAAAGAATAATTCCCATATTTGTTCACAACCGACAATGAACACTCGTATATAGCTGTTGAACATATGATAGCGTTCCTCTGCATGTCATTAAAGGTCGAACCCAACCAGGTTTGGAGCAAATATTTATCAACCATCCATAAAAGAAAAAAATTCAAATGTTTCAAGTGTAGAGGCACTTGCCTGATGAACTGCCGTCAGAACTCGATGACGAACTGCTTTCTTTCCGGTGTTTCTTTCGTTTCTTAATGGATAATCTCAAAAAAGAAACCAGATGTGGTCACGAAACTCAAGAATGGAATTTGGAATTTTCAACTTTTGCTCAATAAGATTAGACAGACACAGAGGTAAGCGCAAGGTCAACAAACCTTATGCTCAGATTTTTCTTTCATTTCTCTCTTGAGAGTACTGAGTAGTGTATTGGCTCCACTAACAGATGGAGCAGGAGTGAGAGCGGCTCCTACCACATCGGATTTGTTAAGTCTAAAAAAAAAATAAACAAGACAGAATACTTCACACAACAATTAGGCGATTGTGCCATGTATAAAATGCAACTAACGCTTGCATTGAAGCACCGGGTACGAAGTCCTTACTTACTCCAAGGGCATCCCTCATCCTATCACGGATCTGGAAGAAGAAAATAAAATAGGAATGCAAGTCAAGCAGACTGTTCAGAAAAATTGTCACGAATGCAGAAATTACGTTACCAAACGCATTGCAAATCTGTTCTCAAATACTTATTTGCTTCGATACTTGGACGGCCCGTCCTCACTGGTTGTGCAGCGTCCAGCATATTCACCATTTTTCGGAGTTTTGCTGGTTCACCCATTGTGTTTCGCTGGAGTCCCGAAGTCAGCCTGTCAAAGTCCGCCCCAGGTCGTCACTACCACAGGCAGTCGCCGTCTTGGTGGATCAGAGGGAGATTTGCCATCATGCGAACAGTTTGGTAACAGGACGGTGGTCGATCCTGGTATTGTTTTACTCTTACCTGGGCTACCTGATGGAAACGTCGGACTCCTCAGCTAGAGAGAGCCTATTGAGGGATAAATCCAGCTATATATCGCCGCCCGACGACGCAAGACGTAATCGTAGAAGAGGTTACATTCTTGTGCAAAAACCAAGAAATTTTGCTTCTTTGACATGAAAACAACAATGACACAACCTGAACAGCAGCTTTGGCCCTCGCGTGAGAATCCCTTGTGTCTAGCTCTGAATCCAAATTGAGTTCACCCGACTCCAGTTGACTCAGCAAAAGTTTGCGATAGTCTGAGACTTTCTTCTGGATTTCATCATCATCGAAACCCTGGATGAACTACTTTGTTAGTTCCGTAGACAAACAAACTCTTCCTAGAGAAAAGAAAAAGATAACAACAATCTGATAATAACTTGCCTTCTCCTCCATTAACATTTCAAATTCGGCACATTTCATTTCGATAGCCCTCTTTCTTTGATGCTGCAGAAGTTCCTCATTGGGCGCTCGGTTTAGTTCTGCTTCAATACGACGTAAGTCAGCTTCACTGTTGTATTCAACACGTTTCTAAATTAGGATTCCAAGCGGTGAAGTCATCGACAACGGAAGTAGAAGGGCATTACTGGTTTCCATAAGAAACAACTACGGGACCTCCCTAGTACCCCTTGCTCACCTTGGAAAGAAGCAGGTTTGATAGATTTGCTTGTACGTATCCATTCGTACCTGTACCACGTGCCGTCTGAAGGCCTATACCATTATACATTTCTCCGAGCTCTGGAATGAGAACTTCTAGAACACATGAAGCATTAAGGAGATAAAAACACGAACAACGCTAATCATTTTTGCAATTATGGTATGTTCTACTGAATAAACGGAACAGCTAGAAGTCAACGGTTACAAATAAACTCGTATGATTAAGAACAGAACACTGCAAGTAGTTCTTTTACGACAGAAGAGAACTCGCTAAAAACTCGATCCCAACTGCGTCAATGCGCCGATGAATGACGTAGTGGACCATCGGCTATCGTAGCAATGTCTTCTAGCACTGCAAGCCCAGTAGTACCGCTACTTCCCCGCAGTACTGAATCCTCGATAGGACTCACAGAACAACGACTTATGATGTTGAACAGACCGCGTTTTATTCATGTGGCGATCATAACACCACAAAATGAAAGCGGTTTGGCCCACGTACTGAAGTGCGACATATTCGGTTCTTTGATGAGTGAAACGGTCCCATTCATAGATGATCTCTCAAGATTCTACGGAAAATAAAAAGGAGGGACACAGTACTGTCAGCATTTCTTAGATGAAGTACTGAAGTCTTTAATACTAATAAACCAGTTTCGGATAAAAAAGAAACTTTTGTGGCGCATGACCCATAAATGGATAAGTTTAAGAGTGGCAGTTAAACATAGCTCGATATAACACGAAACGAGTGTGGTACACTGTGATAAAAATTTCTCTTGCAGTCCGAACCCTTACGACGATTGTAGCGCGAAGAAGGCACATTTCCCTTTAGGTTAAGTACTAAATTAAGTGGAAGTATTCATTAGTTTTTTTCCGACTAATGATGACACTGACTTCTCCAGAATGGATTGCCCCGAAAAACAAGTTCTGTGGACTATCGACTCGGATCATCGGCTCTGATGAAGACGAAACCGTCGAAACGTTAGCCGAATAAGCATTATATATCAACCCATTTAAGCTTATGAAGGAATGAATAAACATTGATTAGTTGCTAAGACATTTTCGTATAGGTGAATACTCTCAATAGAACAGAAGAGGGACATGACGCAGCGACGATGCAGGATTTTTTCAACTTCAGAATGCTGAAGGGGCGTGGCTATTGATTGGTGGCCTCGACGAGCACGTGGTTTGACGTCAGTGCCGCCTAGACCGAGTCGATCTATATTCGCCCAGCTACAGTAAAAAGCTTAGAACTGAGTTATCAACAGTCCATGAGAGAAGGGATCTCGTCGTGACGGCTCTTGTTTTTCATATGTGAGGATTTATACGGGAAGATGTTTTCGCTGTTATCATGGAAAGAAAGTTGTCTATCCTCGGAAGCACTAGCCTCATTTGAAAATGTGCGGGTTATGCACACACCCACGTCCGGCTTGCAATGCTCTTAGGATTTGGAAGGATTTTGCAGCCTATTTTAGACCCTTTTTGGCATTATCTATAGCCGCATCACCTCTATCACGCGAATTCTCGTTGATCGTCGTGTGACTCGAGCGAGCGCCAGTAAACCTTCCATTTCTGCCTGTCGCGTGCAAGAGTAGCTCTTGGGACTCCTATCTTCCTTATAGGGTTCTCGTGAAGAACTGTAACAATCGGGCTGGTCAATGGTCTTCCTGCAGTGCATTTGACACCCCGAGGAATCCATTCGCTACCAGCGGTTGTCCATCGGTTGTCCATCGCTTGTCGTCCAAACGCAGTTCGTGTCCGACCCACCTTTCCTTCGACGCTTTGGCGTACAGAACGGCATGTTTGATTTTTGATCGTTGGCGTAAGTCGGAGCTTCTGATCCTTTCCTCACTTGTATGACACGGGATATTCTTAGAGTCGTGTTTTCGACTGCGCGTTCAATAACGCTGAGTGGTCTTTCAACCTGTTTACGTGACCACAAGGTTTTTGACGATTACTTTAAAGCAAAGGGGATCGTGGAGTCGAAAATGTGGTTAAGGATTCGAGTGTTCTCTGTTCTTTTCACTACATCTTGCTCTTTGAGTTAACGATTGTACTACTGTAGAATGGTCATATCCTGTCCGTAAATGTTGGATAGCTCACAATGGATCTTTACGCTTTGAGTACACATTGTCCGTTCATAGCTTCCATTATCGCTTCTGCTTTAAACAAGTTTAAGGCCTGTTTTTAATTCGATAGCAGTGAGACAGAGCGGTCTCTTGTATTCGAGCAATACTTCAATATGTCTCGTTGTAACGTAAATGTGGTTTATTGGCCAAAATTCTTGCGAAGTTCTGATTCCTTGCAGGGCTGCCCATCGTCCAATGCTCTGGCAACCCTCTTGGTCGTGGATACCCCTTTTGTGCAACAACCCATTCATGTTGGTCTTTCATTGTTTAGGAATCTTGCATTCTTACAAGCTATTTATGAAGAGCCATGCCAGTGTATTGATGAGAATTGATTGAAGATTCCTCACAAGCATGGGTTTCATCATTCTCAGACCGATTGTTTACGACACTTCACAAACAAGATTGAATTTTAAATTTCTGAGAGGATAGCTGGTAAGATGGCATATCCATACTCCTTAATTTCATTTTGAGGGTAGGAGAACATGCCAACATGGCTGTTGAAGATAGGAGTAGTAATCCCAGTTTAGTAGATTGTTTCTTCCACTGCCTTTCTGGAAGCCGTAGCTGATCCGTTTGTGCATCGGAGTGTGTTCGCCACGTTCTTCTAACTGACGCAGTTTATGTGGGCATTGCGAATGCTCTTCCCAACCTCTGCAGCTTCAACCATCATTGCTGATGTTATCTTTTTGTGTTCACATTTGTCGTCTTTCTATAGAGCTTCGAAATTTCAGATGTAAGTTGGCGTTTTCCTACACTTCGTATGATTCCTTGTTCACATATTAGCTCTAGTTTTCCTCGAGAAAAGCGCCTTCTGGTAACCTTGGAATGGTAAGCTTTCTTAGCGCTAACATGAAAACGTTCAGTGAGCGATTTTGTCATCGATTTTTCAGCTACCGGATTCTTTCGAAAAGCCGACTAACTAATGGTCTGAATGAGTTTCAGTTTATGGTAGTTTAAGGGTTTCATTGTTTTTTTTGAGTGTTGTAGCTTCCTCTACATTCTGTGAAAAGCGAATCTTGCGCGACCGAAGGTACGTTGAGGCTTCGTGCAAAAATTAGAGAGAATATCAACTTCATTTGGGCAGAATTTGCAATAACATGATCTATTTTGTTATTTTGTTCGTGATTTAGAGACTTCCATGTCAAACACTGAAAGCGTGGCTTCTGCAGTTGGGGATTGCTTTGGGTGGTCATGGTTATCATGATAAACTCATAGAATCTATAAAAGGTATAGTTTTCTTCGTGGAGCTTCAAATCCTTATGGAACGATGCGACCTCGTTTTTACCGTAACTAAGTGTGGGAACACGAATAATTGAGATTCTCAATACCGATGTTCATCCACATCTCTTCAACCGTAGGCATCCGGTTTAGGTAGCTGTTTAATGGAGTCGGCCTTTAAAGGGAAGCACACATTGACGAGATCGTCAACGCTAGCAACTCCTCGACGTGTACCACGGAGCAGTTAATCGCTGTACTGTAGAGTAGGCAGTAAATACAAGTTAAAACATTTCAACTGCAACAGCGATTAGTATTTAAAAAACACTTTGATCGCTGGTCAACTTGACATTTAATGAACTCGTTCGAGAAAAGGTCTTTTGTATATTGTTAAGTACAGAATGGAGCTTTCCCAGATCAGCGCTTCACCCCAACGTTTGTCTTCAATAGCCAAAAGATCATAGGTTTGTGTAGTATACAAGAAGGGAAAAGGCTTCTGTGCGCCAGTGTAAACCATTAGAAGGAAAATGGTCTCCATATAGCTCATATCGACCACTCCCACCTCTACGTGTGGCCACTATAGCGTCACTACTATCGCGAATTGGTTAACACGACCAAAGCCGTGTTTCGACCCTGCACCAGGCGAACCAGGCCTTCCATCAATCCAGGGTCCAGGCATTGCTTCTATACTTCTATGGGAACGTATCACTGATTCACGAGATCTAGGAGCCATCTAGCAAGGCTGCTCCAGGATTTCAGAAAGAACCAGGTCATCCTGAATTCACCGATATTCATAAAGAATGCTGAAAATCTTCGAGCAGAAACGCAAATCCGAACATTGTTACGAGTGATGGGTGCAAAGAAACTAGTCGAATAAAAGAAGCGCTGGGATCCACACAGTATTTGTAAACTTGGGTCAACTAGGATGTAAAAAACATCAGTGGTTTGCATTCACTTCTTACTTACTACCTATTTTTTTTCATGTCGGCGTATGATGTTTTCTTTCGGACGCAGACCGTTTCAAAGACCCTTTACAGATGGTATTAATTATGAGCTATGTTATGCGTTTTGCAGTGAGATAAAGCTCCAGTTTCCTTCTCTTCTTGACTAACTCCTTGGTGGTAATAACGATGTGGTCTGAATTCCTTGTTTGAGGAATTGAGGGAGTATGACGCAAGAACATCATTCTTCTAGGCTCTTCGTGAAGAACTCTGACCATCGGGTCGGTGGTCTTCCTGTAGTACGCTTGACATCCCAAGGAATCCAGTCACCAACGGCTCTTGACCATCTATTGTCACTCATACGCGTTACGTGTCCGGCCCAACATATCCTCGACTGTTTAGCGTACAGAACAACATCTTTGATTTTTGATCGCTGACGCAGGTCGGAGCTCCGGATCCTATCCCTTACTTGTGTGACACGGGATACTCCTAGCATCGTCCTGTCGACAGCACGATCGATAACGCTGAGTGAGTTTTCATCCTGCATACGCAGCGACAAGGTTTCTGACACATACGTTAGGGCAGGAAGTACCGTTGAGTGGAAAAGATAGACACGGAGTCGAGTGTTCTTAGCCCTCTTCACTACATCCTCGATGCCCTTGAAAGCTCTCCAAAGTCGGTCGTTTCCTTCTGCTCTGCTCCGGAGCTAGGTCGTTCGTAATACTGATTTCCCGACCAAGATAGTCATAACTGAACGATTTGTAGATATTCGTTTCATTGAGCATGAATGG